ATAGACAGCTTTAATAACAGAAACGCTGATGTGGAGAGCGGGGAAAGGCAGCGTGTTCTAACCATTTAGGGAAAAAATGGGGAAGATGTTGCTAATAAGCTCTGCTATATTTTTATCTCACCGTTTTCTTCATCTGAAGGAATATTGAGATGAGGTTTTAAATTCTGAATGATTATCTGACAGCTTCCATCTCCAGGGCAAATTATTAGCAAGAGTTATATTTTGCTATTACCTTTACTCAAAACTCAGAGGACACACACTTATCTGAGCCCAGATGAGAAGTAGAATTCGGAGACGAGAACGCCGTGAACAACGCGCCAGGTCCCAGCTCTTTCTAGACTCCCTTTTGTGACCTTTGTGGATTTTGACCTTCTTCTCCAGTACAGCAGGGGGAGGGATGGGCTGGGCCCCTCGCAGCTTCCTGGATACGTTCTGCCCCCCCACCCAGTGCCATCTGTCACCATTCTACCCCAACCCATCCCACTGCATGCCCGATATTCCACGGACACCAAACGCCCAGTGGTCCCAAACAGGCTGCCTTTTTGGTTTCCTATTTATTTATTTAATTTTATTTTTTAAGAGAGAGAGACTGTGTGTGTCCATGCCTGGAGGGGGGATGGCAGTGCGAGAGGGAGAGAGAGAATCTTAAGCAGTCTCCATGCTCAGTGCTCAGTGTGGGGCTCCATCTCACAACCCTGAGATCACGACTTGAGCCGAAACTGAGAGTCGGACACTTAACTCACTGAGTCACCCACGCGCCCCTGGGCCACTATTTTTGAACATTCTCCTCCCACCCGGCATTCCCCTCTGGGTAACCGTCCTCTCATCTTTTAAGGCTCATCTCCAGTATGACTTCCTTCCAGAACTTTTTCCGACCCCAAGCAGAGTTAATGGCATCTCTTTCTGCTCTGATGTAACACCCCGTCTCTTTTCCGCTGTGGAGCTTGGTATACCAGAATTTTCGTTTGTCGTGTCCCCTCCCCAGCATAACCCAGAGGGCAAGGACTTGATCTCAGATACTTGTCCCCTCTAGCCCGGGGTTTCTCAACAAGAGGAATATTGACATTTGGGACTAGAAAGTTCCTTGTTGTAGGAATCATCCCTCCCCCCCTCCCCGGTCTATGCTAGGGACACCCCATCCCCAGCATGACAACGAAAGCTACCTCTAGACATTGCCCGCTGCCTCCTGGGGGAGAAAAGTGCCCCTGGTTGAGGACAACCGCTCCAGGCCTAACAGAGAGCCTGATGTGCACTAGGTGCTTAAGAAATATTTGCTGAGTTGATCAATCAATGTCCGAGTTAATGAATACAAGGTCGAATGAATCAGCAGATGTAGAAAGACTTTACTACAGCTTCTGCACACTAGTCCTTCATCCAGGCGGTCAAGGCTCTGGGGGAACTCGCTCTGCTTCTTCCTTAAAATTCCCTTATCCCCTTGGCTTCGCATCTGTGGTCTCTTCTCCAACCTCACACTTGGTTTTCCCTCCCACCGCTCTAAATTCTGTACATACTTCCACACAAAGAAGAACTTAACTACTTCAGAAAGGCTTCCCCAACTCACTCGGTCTACAGTGATCTCAAGATTTATGAATAGGATGGATGAGGGAAAATTACAAGAATACATATATACGGGGGCCCCCGGGGGGCTCCGTCAGTGACGCCTCTGTCTTCGGCTCAGGTCATGATTTCAGGGTCCTGGGATCGAGCCCTGCATCAGGCTCTCTGCTCAGCAGGGAGCCTGCTTCCCCCCTCTCTCTGCCTGCCTCTCTGCCTACTTGTGATCTCTCGCTCTGTGTGTCAAATAAATATATAAAATCTTAAAAAAAATTAAAAAAATAAAAATAAAAAAGAGAACACGTGTATATGTAATGTGTATGTAGTACATAGGTCTATACCCACATATACATATGCACATGTTGTTTTGGGTCTTAGAACTATTCATCTTTTCGTTTCATAAACATGTATAGGAATTTCCTCGTGAACCAGAAGGATCACTCCTTGATGGAGGGCCCACTTGCACCTTTACAAGTGTTTTTCTTCTCCTCCTCCGCAGCAGCACAAGCTAATTTATGAATGAGAGACACTTAGCTTTGGCTTGGGGTGAATTATTTTCTTTAAGCAACTGGCAGGCGTGTGAAGTCTGTGTCGTCTGCGGGCTCCTAGCATTCGATTTTAAAAGGAATAGGGCTAATTCTTCAATATCTTGCAGTTTTCAAACAAACTCATTTCAAGGAGGTTCTGCAAACATGAATGAAAGTGATGGACACTTTAGGATTTCTGTGAGAAGGCATTAAACACGAAAAGCACCAAGAAAGACAAGAACGGCTCCTTTTGTCTCAGATTTTGACTGTGCTCAAACTGCATCTAGGCTTTTACCCATTGCTTGGAAGAACCGTATTAAAAGCTTTGGTCATGGGGCACCTGGGTGGCCCAGTGGGTTAAGCGTCTGCCTTCGGTCCAGGTCATCATCTCGGGGTCCTGGGATCGAGCCCTGTGTTTGGTCCCCTGCTCAGTGAGGTTGTCTGTCTCTCCCTCTGCCTCTACTTCTCCCCCCACCCCGCTTGTGTTTGCTAATAAATAAAATCCTTAAAAAACAAAACAAAACCAGAACTTTGGCCTTTGTGGCTGACTCTGAACTCTTTCAGCACCCAGGTGTCCCTCGTACTCCTCCTCCTTCCGGCATCCTTGCCGTGACTGCTGGCACGCACTTTCCCCCATGTCTGTGCTGGGAAATTTGCTCCAACTTCTGTCCTACAGGGCATTTCTCAAGTTTTTCTCGGAAGAGATCATGCTTTACCCACGAGCCGTCACCCATGGGACTTCTGGTCCTCCACGTGCAAGGGCAGAGGTAAGGGGACAACCCCAGAATCTGTCAGCACCGCATTTGGGTCCCCATCCATGAGGGGGTAAATACAGACATACGGGAATGGGGCAGGATGGGGAAAACCATTTCTTATTTTTGTAACCGTTAATAAAAAGGTGAAAGAATTCTTTTGTTCAAGTCTTACCACTTAGGTCTTTTGACAGAAGAGCCTCCTGAGGCTTTTGTCTTTCCATTTATCCCTCCCTGCTGTGTCTTTTAAGCACCCTGTCCAGGGCTGTCTCCTCCAGGCCAACCCACGCCTCCCACTGAAAATACTAAACCACGATGCTTCTCTGGCCTGGCCTCCTCCTAGAGCACCTCCCTGATTTATTCCCCTCACTACCATACACGCCATCTCTGTCCTCCGCGCACTGCCCTCTGGCAAGCTCATAGTGCCTCTTCACTTCTCAAAGTGCACTCACGTTTTCCCAGAACCTAAGCCATGTTTTATGACCACCTTATTGTGACTCAACCCCTCGACCCTGCCGTGACTCTTCCGGGGCTTGTGTCCTACGACTCCAGTATTACTGAACCTCTCCCTATGAAGCAAAAGACAGATCACTCCCGACTCGACCACTGTTAGGTTTCCAGCAAGCGTTAATAACCTAGGTAGTCAACACATGTGTGGCGTGAACCAAGCATTGCTAGAATGCGATGGAAGGTAGGATTAGGCATAGGAATCGGAGAAAACAAATCCCCATCTCTCAATTTTTAGAAGATCATTTTCTGGAAATAATTGTAGTGGTCAAGGGCTGAACTTCTGCCGCAGCTGAAATCACGTCCTTCCACTGCTACAGGTAATCATCCGTTCCATACACGATGCCCAGGTTCCCGACTGCACTGAGCACTTCCGGAGCCGCACCAGCGGACGTGCCTGGGGCGGATCCTAGCAGCTCAGCGTCGCAGAGAATGCGGCCTCGAGTGTGCCGCTGACACAGTGACTGTTTGGACCTGGACAGGTGCTCCCCTGTCCCGACCAGGCAACTAACTTAGCAGCCATCACCTGAGTTTAAATGGTTAGCTTCCAACTCCACGATTCCTTTCCCTCTGCAGTAGCTTTCTAGTCCTGTCCCCAGTGTTAAAATTTCATCCGTTTGGGGCGCCTGGGTGGCTCAGTGGGTTAAAGCCTCTGCCTTCGGCTCAGGTCATGATCTCGGGGTCCTGGGATGGAGCCCCGCATCGGGCTCTCTGCTCAGCGGGGAGAGCCTGCCTCCTCCTCCTGTCTCTCTCTGCCTGCCTCTCTGCCTACTTGTGATCTGTCAAATAAATTTTAAAAAAATTAAAAAAAAAATTTCATCCGTTTATGTATCTTCTTCCACGTTCACCTACATTTCAACCCCGGACCAGAAAACAGAGGAGTGAATCACGGAATGAATGTTCTCGATTAGGACTGATAGCCTCAACATTTTCAAATTTTCTGTATGGGACCAAAGTAGGTACCAAGCGGGATGTTATTGACATTCCTCCTTTTTTTAGTGAATAAACCTGGTTTAAATGACAAGAAACATGAAGACACAAACACCACATCTGCTTTAAAGTCTTTATTATCCTGAATACAAAAGACAGAAGTCCTTTAGGATATAACAGAGTTCTTTATGTGGAAACATTATTTTTTTTTTACAAGTGAAAAAATAAATACCTCTTGGAATAAAGGCTTATATGCTAATATGTGCCATAAAAAAGTAGAGTTTTAATATTTGACAAAATGTCTGTGCAAAGAAACAAATGCATAAACACATTACTGCTACATTAAGGCAATATGAAAAGTATACTCGGAAATCTCAGTAAAGTGACAGTGTAGGCTTCTAGCTTTCACTGAGCTAGTATTGCACCCAATAAGGTCATCTAGGTGTCCCGATGTCCTAGAAAACCCACAAGCTGACCAGCGTCCAAAATGCCCCAGTGGGAGTGGAAAATGTGACTAAGAATGTAGAAACAAAGAAATTCAAAACCCCTCAAAGACCTAGGGAGGGGACCACCGGAAGTTAATACTTAAGCATTTACTACCAAAAAAAAAAAAAAAAAGCATACGCTAATCTAAGATACCTACGATAAGGCTATAAAAGGCTTGATGGCTCGAGCAAAAGCAACCCCAGGGGATGAAGCTGTAGTGGAGGTTTGGGGAGAAGTGGGGGATCCCCCCCGGGTTCTACATCGTGAGGCTTCATCTCTGCAGGCAATGCTCTGCTTCCCGAGGAACATGTGTCCCCTTTTCAACTTCAAAAAAATATCCCACCAACTCAAGAGCCCAAGGAGTGCGGACTGCTCCACAGAAATCTTATAACCAGACTGGTAGCATTTTATAATCGAAAGACTTGGGGGAAAGAGGGCAGGGAGGGGGGAAAGGAAGCCATGCATACTGAGTTCTCTGTCTTCCACTAGCCAGACCGGTTTATGTCTGACAACCTGGCTGTCAACGTTTTGAAAGTCACAGAATGGACTCTTTGACATCTGTTTGCCTTCCAGTCGTTCTTGAGCAAGTTACAAAAACAGAAATGACATTAAAATGACAGTTTCTTTAAGAAAAGTTTCCTATTAAAATGTTCAGAGCTCCACGACCATACAAAAAGAACCAAGTAAATTCTTAAAACGAATTCTTACAAAATTTGCTGCCACGTAGGAAACTTACCTCGGGACACATCAGGAGACTTCACAATATCCTTTCCTAAAAGGTACCCACTTTTTGGCTCTGCTGCCACTTAACGGACATCACAGATCCTACTTATTCCTCTAACTGGATCATGAGAAGAGTGAGTCCAGGGAACGTGTCTGTGTCCAGAACTCTTCCCGGCCCCACCACCGCCAGCGCGGACTCTACACGTGGTATGTTTTGGCGGGGAGGAAAACTCTATTTGTCCTTTTCTTCCTTTTTTAAATGTTGCATGGCAGATGGGCGTGTCGGGCTTTTTGTTTTCTCCACGATCCATCATTTGTGTATTTAAGAAGCAGTGCGGTCCGTGGAAACGTGGCACGTCCCGTGAAGGGCACAACCCGTCAGATCACGGTCAGGTTGAGCAGACTGGTGTGGGTGGGCAGATAGACGTGCTGCACGTGCTCCACCCGCGACCTGCAGACTGGACACGACTGCAAAAGAGAAGGCCACGGCACTCGTTAGGACGCCTCCAAGTATGTGTGTTCAGGGCTCGCGAGCGGCACCTACTCTAGTCATTCTGCTATGTACCTTGTGGCCGTGACTATTTCTAGATCTAAAGAGGTAGAGATCTTTGTGGTCTCTCTCTCTTTTTAAAGATTTTATTTATTTATTTGATACAGAGAGAGAGAGAGCATGCATGAACAGGGGGAAGGGGAGAGGGAGAAGCAGGCTCCCTACTAGGCAGGGAGCCCGATGTGGGGCTCGATCCACAGGACCCTGGACTGTGACCCGAGCCAAAGGCAGATGAGAAACCAACTGAGCCACCTAGGCGCCCTGATATCTTTGCTTTCTAACAGGTTTGAAAGTCTATACCTTACTAGGGATTCAAAATATTATGAAAAAGTACAAACCGCAGGCAAATAATTAGGTTTTTCGTCCCATTCTAACCCAGGCACGATGAGTAAAGTGATTAGCACGGAATTCTTGCTGTGTGGTGAGGCTGCGCTCCCTGCAAGGGCAGAGTGCAACCCTCTGGCAGTGGGATGCAGGAGAGCTGAGACCCTTCCAGAGTCTAGGTGTCCCTGGCTCAGGGGGCTGACCCAGGCCAGGGCGGCTGGGCTGATGCCATGTGGCCCATGAACTTGGCTCTGCTCTGAATCCCACATCACAGCTTCATATCCCCAGCTGGCTTCTCAGCAAGCACGGCCCTCCCTCAGCCACAGGGGAGCATTAGGTGTGGGGGTCCACCCATGGGGGGCTGGGGTGGGGGGAGGTGGGGAAAGGCAAGTCCTTGACCTACTGTCCCTGGAGAAGAAACTCCTTGTTATTAACTCATTATCTACTCTCGGGAAGGACAAAGGCGTCCTGCCAGCTCAGTATATAACCATAAAAATAGTTCCGAAATTAGTAGCTTTTGAAGGACTAGATAGTGTTTGGGGCTAATTTGAAAATAAAACCACAGTGACATTTAGCAACCAGTTCTTAGAAATGACAACATGCTGAAAAAATTACTGTAAGCGCAAAATGTAAGGTGCGAAAAAGGAAAACAGGTGAGTTGCTTTTGTTGATTGTATTAATATTAAAATTAGTTTGACTTGCTACCTAAGAGCCAATCCAGGATGCCCCCTGGAGGCACATGCGGCAATAAGAGGAAATTAATCACCAATAACCAAGGCCGACAATCCCTCCATGGAACAGAAAGTGAGCTCTAACTACCAATTCTCAGTGTTCTTTTCCAATATTTTAAGTAAATCATAAAGACACTGCTCCTCAGTGTCAGGAAGCAGGGAGCAATGGTCCTAGCCTCCGGCTCACCCGCTCACGAGATGTTACCTTGTGAGTCTGAGCCTCGTTTCCAGAACCTAGAAAGGGTCTACGATTTAGAGCAATTACACTGTTGGAGACAGTGCGCTGATCCAGGGTGTTTCCCAAGAGCAGTACCTTTGAAGTCCCCACACGGGAAGCCCCCACCCCGGGGTGCAGGTGGGGCTGGGCATTCCGGCTCGCACCCGGCACCCGGCAGGTGCTCACTGACCATGAGCAGGGGGAGGGGCGGCCGCCGAGCACCCCTCACCTGCAGCTGGGCGGCGCAGCCTTCACAGCACACGGTGTGGCCGCAGGGGCAGAAGGCCGAGTTGATCTCCTCCTCACAGCACACCATGCACAGCATGGCCTCCTTCAGCTTGCGCAGCTTCTCCTGGAGTGCCCTGGTCTGCTGGCAGCTGAGGCCCTCACAGCTGGCGCAGGTCAGGCTGCTTTCCGAGGACTTAAGTGGGGAGCTGGGAGGGCTGTGCTCGCTTCTCGACACGAGGTCCACAACGCCGGCATTGTACAGAGCCCTCCTGGCGTGGTCATACACCTCCTTTGACGTTCTTTTAATATCGAAGACGTACTTCTTGCCAAGGTTAATATTTTCATTCAGAAACAGAGAGGCCAAGTGGCCCTTCAGGTCTCGGCTGTACTGCATCATGACGGCACTGGTCACCGTGTCACACCTGCAGGGACAGACGGAACATCCGCTTCAGTACCGTAAGCCCAGGCATTCCCATGATTCAGACCTTCCGATGCTACCGTACCTAAGAATATTCGTGTCAGCAGACATTTGTATTCTTTACTGCATGCCCAAAAGTAAATTCTTCCAGGGTTATGTGTGTTAAACATTTCAATGATTCTACCTCTCTGTTTCTTCAGTGTCCCCAGAGGACCTGGGATAAAGCAGCCGTCAATGGAGAGGACAGTGAGCGTGCGCCTCCACCTCCGGGGACAGGAGCTCCAGTCAAAAACAGCTCGTGGCAAGAAAAAAAGGACATGTTCTTCTTTCCTGGCTTTATGCTAAAAATTCCCACCAATTTTCCATTCTGCTCCAAAATTTTTATGTCTATCTTAACAGAAAAAAGGTTAAGATTGCAATTAAATTTCTCAGCCTTAATTTCTCACATATTTGGGTCAAATCACAAGTCTGCTTTAAAGCACCTTCCGAAATGAGGGTATCGCCAGTGTGGCTAGAAAATCCTTCCTGGGCGCTGAGCAATCGGAGCGGGGCGGTAGCCACTCTCCCACAGAGACGACTTAGGTCACCCTGCTGGGGAAGAGCAAAGCAGCTGTGGGTCAGGCCCAACGAGGAGGCGCCGTGAGGGAATAAGATCAGAGAAGCAGGGGTGTGTGTGTGCAGCTCGTTCCCACGCACGTGCTGTGGGGAGAGCGGGACCACATTGATAAGGACCCCCGTGCTACAGCAGAGCAGGACCAGTGTTCGAAAGCGGTGGATTTCCTAAGTCCTGCACAAGATCCACGGACACAATGGTACCAGAAACCACAGGGACCTTGTTGTCACCTGAAAACCCGGAGCTGCAGACCGACGCTAAGGTTGTGGGGCACAGGGCGCTACGTGCCTGTAGAAAGCGTGGGTCTCCGTTATTGCTCGGTAGAGCCCGCTGGCCGCCCTGGTGCTGATCATCTTGAACAAGAGCACCACGCTGTTCCCAGACTCCTTGGTGACGGTCAAGTACACGTTCTTTCCCGACTGGGTGGCCATCTGCACCACAGGGTAAGCGATCCTGAAAACCCGGGAAGAGAAAAGTGAGCCGGCCCTGGAGGGGAGATCTGTCACGGGCTGTGCTCGGGACCCAGCGGGGCAAGGAGACGCTTGGTATGGGGCTGTAAGTAGCCACTGCACTCCCTGCTCATGTCGTGATCCCAGGGTCCTGGGACGGAGCCCCAGGTCAGAGTTCCCGCTCAGAGGGGCATCTGCTTCTCCTTCTGCCTCTGCCCCTCCCCCAGCTCATGCACGCTCTCTTTCTCCCTCTCAAACACAATCTTTAAAAAAAATAAATGAAATAAAAAATAATTAAATGGTTGTCAAGGCCTGAATAAAATTAATATCCATGCCCAAAATGAAACATCTGATTCCTAAAAGGTAAGTGTCTAGCAAATCCCTTTCTGGTTTGATCTATTTTCCTATGCAGAGCTATAAAGGGATATGCATGCTTTGGGCTCAATAAAAATGTAAGACGTAGGTTACCTATTAATTGGGCAGAAGTCGTCTTTGCAAATTGAGATTCCTTCAGGTCCAACCCCAATGAGGAGCTTTTGGCCCTCGCTGTCCCTCACGGAATGCCACTCGATGCCATAGTTTTCCATTGCTGACACGATCTGCAACACCTGGTATTCGGCCGAAGCCTGGCTGGTCCCCTCCAACTCTTTATGCTTCGCAACAATGCTGTTGGACACCAAAAGGGCAGAGAGATATGGAGAGATGAACTGATGTGGACTTTAGAGAGAAATCAGTATCATTTTCACTAGTGAATCACACGGATGTCGAAAACTCAAAGCAATGTAGCATTGACATTTCATATATTTAGCAAATTCACTGTAAAATACTTCTGAGGCACCACTCCAGATCCCAAGTGTCCAATATTCAGTAGAAAAAGCAAGTGGGGATGCCAGATGGGGTGAACTGGAAGAATTATGGAAAATCTCTAGAAATATACGTTAAGAAATTTTGCATATAGGAACACACACAGGTATCTACACTACTTTGTAAGTTTCATTTAAGGGATTGATGAGATCATCTGCAACTGAAGGCTGCAGGATTTATTCTATCTGTGGTCGCAGACAGCCTCTAACACAGTCCTTCAAGATCCCCACCTCCCAAGTCACACCCTTGTACACGTCCCTTCACCCGAGTGTTGTGTACCAACTGTGTTAATGGCTGGCTGGATTCACAACTCACTTCTAATGCACAGAACATAGCAGAAGTGATGGGATGTCACTCACGTCTGAGATTAAGTTCTAAAAGGACTTGACTTCGGTCTTGGGTGTTCCCTCTTGCTCTGACTGATGGCTTATCCTGGGGGAAGCCAGCTACCATGTTATGAAACAGTGCCCCGGAGAGGCCTGTGTGGTAATGGAGGATGGCCCTGCCAACACACCACGTGAGTCAACCTGGAAGGGGATCCCTCTTTCGGTTGAGCCTTTGGATGGCAATGAACTCCACCAACAGTTTGCCTCATGAAAGATCATGGAGAACCCAGCTGGGCCACAGCCAGATTTCTGACCCACAGCAGGGAGAGATACTGTTTGTTGCTATAAGTCCCTAAGTTTGGGGTAACTTATTCCCCAGGAATAGGTAACTAAGACACGTTAGGTCTCTTGATTTAATCCTTGCTGGGACGAAGAAAATACCAACATACGTGATAGACTTTTGAAGAAATCTGTATCCTTCAGAGGTCAAGAGATTTAAAAAATTCCTCTTCCATAGCATTTTATAAAAGGGCATTGATTTAGGTGAGATTATGTTTGGTATCTGTAAATTTCTCAAAGAAAAGGCTAAGAATCTTTGGAAAATAACTGGCTAAATTGGGCAATGGTCTAGTCTTAGCCTTACCAATTATCCGTATAGAGACCGTAGATCCATTTTCTTCAGGAAATACGGATAAATTCACTAGCTGTATGAACACGGTTGCCCCAAGGCAGCCTCACCTGTTCAAGGTGGCGCTGGAGAGCTCCTTCGCACACAGTTCCTCGTAGCTGTACTTGGCCGTGTTCTGATTGTAGTCTCCAAACTTGGTCTGGGCCAGGAGGGCGCTGAGTTCCACTGCCTGCTCCGGGGAGCACTGGAGGTGGCCGGCCAGGAGGGTCTCCTTGATGTGCAAGAAGAAGATATGCCTGCAGAGCCATGTGAGAAGGAGGTTATCCCGGGGACGAGCTTGATATCAAGCTTAACCTGCTTAGCAATTTCATAAACCGTTTTAGGTAAGGAAAACACAGTAATTTAAAAAGCTACCCTGAAAATACTTGCCACTAAAGAGCCGTTTTTGTTTTTGTTTTTGTTTTTAAAATCATGAGTATTAAGGCAACATAAGTGTAAGAACTTAAGTTTCTCTAGAATAAAATGTATAACCGAGACAAAAACAAATCTAATTAAGACAAATCCAGCAACATTCAAGTTATCGAATATAAAATAACTTCACACAAGTTTCTGCATTCAATTAAAAAAATTTTTAAAGAAATTATTTTGAGAAAAACTTGATCTCGATGTGGACTTGATATCTTAGCTCCTCACCTTTATTCAAATGACCCTCAAATCTCTAGTTTGGCCCCAACTTCTCTAAGCATGATATTCAAATGATATTCAAATGTCAAATACAGACACCTCCACTTGGGATATTCAGGATCCTAATTTCACTTTGTTCAAAACCAGACTCACCGCCTTCCTTCCCAAACCCACTTTTTCTCCCAGTGGAAACCTGAGGCTTATTTGTTATTTTACCCATAGACCCACTTTTGACATTTTGTTTCTACCTACTTTCTATCTCTGCAAACTCTTTAAAGTCAGTTGTAGTCTCCCTATTATTACCTCCTATGTCCTACTTGTGTCTCTCAACTGAGAATTTATACTCTCCCCCAAGCCGATCTCTCTAGACTCTGCTAATCCACCTTCCAAGCTACTTGCCTCTAGGATAAGTTTGCCATTTGTCAGCTCAAAAACTCTTCAAGGGATCCCATCTGTTTGCCAAGGAAGCATGCTATTGGCATGAATCCGGGTTCTGTGGGTCTGGCCCCCAACGTTCAGCCACATGTCCCATCATTCCCTCCACCAACTATGCCCCCAGGAAAGGGACAATTTCTCTTCCTGGAAAGAACTAGCATTTTCATGTCCTCGTGTCTCTGGTCTTGGCTGCTCCCTATGTCCTGAGGGGCATTTTTCCTGTCCCCTCACTGAGATACTCTTTCATCCATATCATGTGCAAACTGTTTATTTCTCTATCACAGTATTTGAAATTAACTTTTACAGTTAGCTGCACAGTAGCTGACTTCTCAAGTGTCTCGAGCACCAGAGAACCTTGTGAATGGATATAAAAGCCACATCGTCTGCCGACCTCAAGTTCCATTCCATTTGTGCCTGTCCTAACTGCATACAATATTACATGCTACGTTTCCTATAAGGTGTGTCAGACTTAGAAACTCCCAGGAAATGCCACCTACGTTGCCCGTTAATCCAGACTGCCCAAGATTCCCAACAGAGTATCTAAAACCGCTATAGTCAGACCAGCCTAGGTTATAACATTTGACTCTGGCAAACGTACGGGTATAACCTTCCTTTGATGACTTGTTATAGCTTTTCAAACTTGCTTAAATACCACAATATTCCTCCCACTAACAAATGAGTTACGACCAGCAGTAAATCTCTGACACTGCTCTGAATACAGCTCATACGCCCAGCTTCCCGCTTGCACTGGATACCCTGATTCCAGTCCTCAACAGTGCTTTTTTTTTTTTTTTTTAAGTTTTTATTTATTTATTTATTTGACAGAGATCACAAGGAGGCAGAGAGGCAGGCAGAGAGAGAGGAAGAAGCAGGCTCCCTGCAGAGCAGAGAACCCGATGCGGGACTCAATCTCAGGACCCTGGGATCATGACCTGAGCTGAAGGCAGAGGCTTTAACCCACTAAGCCACCCAGGTGCCCCATCAACAATGCTTTTATTTATATACTAGTCCTATGTCTGACATCCTAGGTAGAAGGGACACATGAGCAATATAAGAAAAACAGAGAGAAGCTGGACTAGAAGTACAAGGGGGAGGGGCCCTATGACAGTCTCATAACATCAGGCAGACAAGAACCACTAATCTTCCTTTAAGAGATGTTTAAGTTCAACATTTTGTGTGTTCTAAAAAGATAAAGAAATATTTAAAGTTATCAGCCTCTGACAAATACTGCAGGTTTTTCTGGATTCAAAGCCCCAATGACGAAATCACGGTAAGAATGCCTAAGAGCACGGAAAGAAGATAAGCATAGTTTTTATTAACCCAAACATCTGTTATAGTATTTTTGATACCACTCAACTGAGAAGGGGGTCCCTACTGGGGCAAAGAAATAACCACAGAAATAGCTTGTTTTAAAATAGCTATCCGAGCAGTGAGGGCTCGCACTCCCATGCGATCATGGTGGTACAGCACTGCTTCAGCTGTCCAAGGCTTTCTCAATGGCTGTTCAGTAAATTTCATCTTGGTGGACGTATCCCTGTCTCTGTCCTTACGGGAGGGCCAACAGTTGGACACAAAACTCTGAACACATGGTGATGGTAAAGAAGAAATTACAGGCTGAACAAGTGTAAGGGCATCACCACAAACCAAGTCTTCTCCATGTAAATACTGCTCAGGTATCTTTTAACTTCTTTATATTAACCTAGAGACTAGTTCTCTGTTGCATGAGTGATGTTTCACCTCCAAGAGTCTCAAAATCGATCCAAGTTCTCTTTCTGAACTATCCACGCTGGCTCCTAGAGAGGCAGCTGCCGGAGTCAAAGGCAAAGGAGCAGGAACAGAATACGAACAGGTGGTCAGGGGTCTGAGACCACATGCAGCTCTTTTCTCAGCCTGTGGGTCAGCATTTCAAAAGGGGAGCAGCAGAAGGACAACTGGCCTTTTCTACGTACCCCCTTCTAGGCTGGACGGCAGTGCATACCCTGTAAGTAGAACAGTCAGTCCTCCCCTTCCCCGCTAGGTAAACTTTCTGATAGGGCCCTTCCTGTATTCTGCAGTTTCATGGCTATCAGGGAATCTTTTCATTTGAAGTCAACAAATATTTGTCATTCATTGCCTCTGTGCCAAGCCCTACCCTGGGGTCACAGGGTGAACCGATCTGATAGATCCTTTTTACGTGGAACAGGTGGGCCTTTAGCATGAAGGAATGATGCCCTTTTGTGGTAACTCCTCAAACTGGTTTTTGGGGGACACGTTGATGCTCTTGAGGAGAACAAGACAAGGAAGCAATGACCACAAGGGTCACCAGCTGCGGTGAGCCTTCAGCAGATTATCTCATGCCCTCTTCCCAACAGGGACGGTGGCACAGCTTGGAGACACATTCCAACAAGAAATCCAGTGATGGCTCTAGTGTTCGCAGGGTGATTTTGAATCAAACACTTTTTTTTTCCTATTATTTTTCTCTTGAACCATTTGCTCTGTAACTATCTAGTTCATGGACTAGCCCCCCACCATCCCTTTTTGTAAAATGGGCGAAAGGTTTCCAATCATATCAAAATAAGCAGATGTGAGCAAAGAAGTCATACCTGCAATGAAATTGTTAGGATTTTATTTACTTGGGAGAGAGTAGAAAGAGAGAGCGCACCAGCAGAGGGGAGGGGCAGAGGGAGAAGCAGGCTTCCCACCGAGCAGGGAAGTATGCATGCGAGGCTCACCCCAGGACCCTGGGACCATGACCTGAGCTGAAGGCTGTTGCTTAACTGACCGAACCACCCAGGCACCCCAGTGAAAATTTTTTTTAACTAAAGATCAAAAGTGGTTGACATCTCTCATTGGCTTTAGGCTATGTGCTAGAATCACAAACAGAAAGAAAGTCTTTGGGGAAAAAAAAATTCTTTGTCTTAAGCAACTATCTGTGAATATGTCCTGGAGACAAAAGCTCAAGCTGAATTTTCTAAACATTCTTCTGGCTGTGTGATTCCTCAGGTTTTACTCAGTTATTAAGCAAATGGATTCCATCAATATGCGGATCAGTCTGGAGGCTCAAAAGCGAAACATTCCTGCTCACTAGGGTCTTTGCATCACAGGTACAAATGAATTCACCCCTGCTGTGTCATTATGGAAGATTTTAAAAAATGGAGTAAATATTAAGGATATGCCATATTCTAATTAAAAAAAGTCACATATCCTTAAGGCATTTTTGTTTCAAAGTCCTTCAAATTTCTTCTACTTTAAAAATTAATGCCTTTCCATAGCTTTAAGGAATAAGGTGAGTTCATTTAAGAACTGTGAGCAGAGAACTGTCCTCTGAACACTGGCTTGTCTCATAAAGAAATCACCTAATAATCAAAGCAGAACTTTCTGGCAAACCGACAGGGGTCGCTGACCTGCCCATCACAGGGGAGGTTGTACTCAATCACTGCGATCTGGTAGCTTCCTGGTGACGTCATTTTGAAGAACTTTCTGTGACACAAATGTAAATCAACTATATTCACATTTGCTGTTAGACTCAACACTGGAGTAACAAGCCTAAAGCATCTTTAAAATGGCTAAGAAGTGATTTTTAAAAACTCTCCAATGCCAACAACTGAACAGTGTTTCTCCCCCAGAACTGACTGACCCTGGCCAGGGATGCCGGTGTGTCTCTCACCCAGTCAGACCCCCTCTGAGCTCCCCCGCGTGCCTGCCTCAGGTCAGTGGGCCGGTCGGTTCACCACACGGATTTATTTTAAACCAAGCTCCAACTGCCGAGCTATATTTAAAAACCATCAAATTTAAAAAAAAAAAAAAAAAAAGAATTACTATACATTTTTTGTTTCGTGTCTTAAATTCCACTGAAATAAAAATCAGTTCATGACAGATCCTAGGCTTCAATGTAAAAGCTAAAACCGTAACAACTCTTAGACACATGAGAGGGTATCTCCATCCCTTGGGCGGTAGGCAAAGGTGTCTCAGGACACAGTAAGAATCATAAAAAAGAAAAACGGATAAATCAGACTTTACCAAATTAAAAATTTCTACTCACCAAAAGGGATTAAGAAAACAGGCAAGGGGTGTCTGGGTGGCTCAGTTGGTTAAGTGTCTGCCTGCAGCTCAGGTCATGATCTCAGGGTCCTGGGAACGGTCCCACATGGGGCTCCCTGCTCAGCAAGGAGCCTGCTTCTCCCTCTGTCTCTGGCCC